CAGGCCCCTGGTGCCCGCGTCCGGCGCGGCCTCCCGTGGCCTCGGCATGTTCGGTCAGTAGCGCCTGGGCCCTGGGGCTGCAGGGGTCAAGGTGTCGGGGTCTTAACGTGCGGAGTAATCGTGATGGGGATATAGTAGGAGAACGACTGAGGCAGAGTGAAGGGGTGACGGGGAAAGTTGCAGAGCTCAGCTGGGCCAAGTGGCTGCTGACGGCAGGTGGGAGCGCCCAGGGAGTGGGGAGTACCTGGGGACAGCGGTGGTGGTAGGTGATGGGGTGGAACAGGTCCGTTGTGCTTAGAGGCGAGGGGTGCAGAGTAACTGGCTTTGGAGCAGCGTGAGCCCTGCTGGTCAAAGGAGTGGACTCCAGAGTAGGAAAGGGTTGTGATTGAGTAGTGGGACTAAAGACCGTGTTTGGGAAGTGAGCGAGGCACTGTTTGCTCAGAACCTTGGAAGATGGGCTGGAGCTGTGCGATGTGCTTCTCTAAGAGAGACTCCACAACCTGGAGTGCAGTGCGCTGGGGAGGAGTTCATGAGGGGCAGGACCAAAGGCTGTTCCCCATTGTCTGCTGGGCCCTTCTTCCCCCACCCAGCACAAGACTAGGAGGCCCTGATGAGAAAGATCTTTGTAAAGAAAGGGATGGATCAAGATCCCTGGGGGCTGATAGGACGTTGGGGGTGTCCAGCAGCATTTTGCACCCCCAGTGTCCCAGGCATAGGGGGATATAGGAGATAGCAGTGTTTGTTTGTTCTTTGAGTCTTTTTCCAGTGCTGTCTACTGCTCTTCGGGTTCCTTGTTGTCTACTTTTTTTCTTTTGTCAGTCCCTGGAAGAATCAGGTCTCATTAGCAGTGCCTCATATCGAGCTCCCCTAGTCATGGCTTTTGAAGTGTGTGGGGGGGGTCATCTCAGGTCAGATTGATGTGTATCGGGGGAAGCCTAGAATGATGGAGACCAGGGCTAGGGCGTTTCCTCCCTTCATGGTCTCCCCCAGGCAGGGGCCTCCTCTGCTGGTTCCACTTCCCCCGGGGAGCAAGAAGCGAGAGGGAAGCCCTCAGTTAGGCTAGGCCTGCCCAGGAGTCCAGCCAGGATTGGGTCCCAGCCCAGGGTTTGCCCCTCTGCCACTCACCTGGGACCCAAGCTGGGACCCCTGGGGTCAGCTCCCTGGTAAGAAAATTGCCTTCCTGTGCATATCCTAGAGGAAACACCTGGCACGTTTGCTTCCCTGTTAGAGATTTGTAACAATTTTCTTGTCTGCTCCATTGTCTGTGACTTTTCTTCTAAGAAGTTTGCCACACCCTCCCCTTTCTCTGAGCAAGGGGGCTGGACACTAGGCTAAAGATATACTGAGGGGTTAGAGGGAGGGAGACTCAGAGGCCTCTTCATGGACAATAGGATCTTTTTGGAGAGAAAGGGGAGAAGCTGGGGCTACCGGTACCCAGCCCAGGTAGGGCATTTCTGGCTCTCTGGGGTCCGTGGTAGGGGAAAAGGACCTGACACCTCATATCCTGTGGGTAATGGAAAAAGGAGGGGAGGGGGCACCAGGCCATTTGTCTCAGGAAAGAGAAGGGGAGTGTGGGGCCTAAAAGAGGGGCTGTGTCAGGTGGCCGCATGGGTGCTGGGGATGTGACATGATGGGGAGGGGCGTCCCCAGCCCTGCTGAGATCTTGGGGCCTTGGGAGTATGGGACGGCAGTTGAACATGGCCTGGTTTGTGACAGGAGCCCGTCATTCCTCTGGCCTGGTCCCTGGTGGCAGGGCTGGTAGAGGCGGAGGAGGGAGTGGGGCTTGAGTACTGTTTCCCGTCTCTGCTTCTGTTTTTCTTTTTATAAATCTAGAAACCTTTCAGAGGAATTTTTCTTGAGTGATTCGTTTAGGTAGACCCAAGACAGGGGACAGGGGATGGGGATATCAGGAAGGGGTGGAGCTGCCTTGTCTAGGGGGGAAAGAACTTGAGTTTGGGGTCAAGGCCAGGTTTCTCCTGCTGTGTGGCTCAGGTGGTTCTTTCCCACAGTGTGGACAAACGTGGAACCTCGCTCTGTGGCCGTGTTTCCCTGGCACTCTTTAGTCCCCTTCCTGGCCCCCAGCCAGCCTGACCCCTCTGTACAGCCAAGTGAGGCACAGCAACCTGCCAGCCATCCAGTGGCCGCCAACCAGAGCAAAGGTGAGGGGTTGAGGAGGGTCTGTGGGGAGGCATGAAGATGGGGTTGGGGTGGCCCTGGAGCCCTCTGATCCGCCTCTCTGCCCCCCAGAACCTGCTGAGTCAGCAGCTGTTGCTCATGAGCAGCCACCAGGTGGGACAGGGAATGCTGACCCTGGGCGAACCCCCGGAGCCACATGCCCTGAGAGCCCAGGGCCCCCTCACACTTTGGGGGTGGTGGAACCCGGGAAGGGTCCCCCTCCCAACACTGAGGAGGAGGCTCCTGGCCCTCCAGGAGAGTCCCGACTGGACAGTGAGACAGAGAGTGACCATGATGATGCGTGAGTGCCCTAAGACTTGGGACTGGGAGGTGGGTGGCTAGAGACCTGCCCTTGGCCCTCACTGTCCGTGCTGTTCTGCCACAGCTTCCTCTCCATCATGTCTCCTGAGATCCAGTTGCCTCTGCCGCCTGGGAAACGCCGGACCCAGTCCCTCAGTGCCCTGCCCAAGGAACGAGACTCCTCTTCAGAGAAGGATGGACGCAGCCCCAACAAGGTGCCCCATCCCCACTGTCCCCCACTCACCCTTTGGCCACCCAAGACTGTTTCCTCCATCCTAACTGCTCCCATTGGGCCTCTTTACTGCAGAGGGAGAAGGACCATATCCGGAGGCCCATGAATGCCTTCATGATCTTCAGCAAGCGGCACCGGGCCCTGGTCCACCAGCGGCACCCCAATCAGGACAACCGGACCGTCAGCAAGATCCTGGGCGAGTGGTGGTATGCCCTGGGGCCCAAGGAGAAGCAGAAGTACCACGACCTTGCCTTCCAGGTAATGCTTCCGCCTCTTGACCCTCTCCCGGCTCCCCTAGTAGGATGGTTGAGAAGACACCCTGTCCTCTCCTGCCAGGTGAAAGAAGCTCACTTTAAGGCCCACCCAGACTGGAAGTGGTGCAATAAGGACCGGAAGAAGTCCAGCTCCGAGGCCAAGCCTGCAAGCCTGGGTCTAGCTGGAGGCCACAAGGAGCCGCGGGAGAGGAGCATGTCAGAGACAGGCACTGCCGCTGCCCCTGGAGGTCAGTGAGCCCCAGCTCTCCCGCCCTGCTCCTGCCCCTGCCCCTGCCCCTAGACCCACCAGCTAGACCCTCTTGCTTGCTCACCCCTTGTTTCAGGAGCTCCTCTGTCCTGTCATTTTTATTTGAGGACTTTTACCCCTATCTCCTATGAAGGAGTTCAGACAAATTTCCAAAGAGCCACTTCATTGTCAGCTGTTGATTTTACTGACTAGGTACAAGTAGGGTGTAACCTCTGTTACTAAAAGTACACCCCATTTCCATGTGAAAAAACTGAGGTACAGAGAGGTGGAGTCAGCGAAGTCATAGACAGCTAGTAAGTGGCAGAGCCAGATGTTAAACCCCAGCTTGGCTGGCTCTCACAAACACAGCTGGAAGACCCTTTTTGTCTGCTTGTACTGGCCGGGGGTATCTGGTGTGCCTGGCACTGTTGTGAGGTGTTTTTCTGGAGTAAACGTCTGGGTCTGGACCCACAAATCTGAGGGTGGGGTTGTCACTTCTCTGAGAGCAGGGCAGCGAGGCTCCTTGGCCAGTGGTCACCAGCCATCGTGACAGAGAAGGCCTGCCTCCGGGCTTTCTGACTTGAGAGGGCTGCCTCCTTGAGGGGACTGCTTGCACCTGGAGGGCGGGACAGTAGGAAGGAGCTGCTGTGTTGGTGGGTGGTGCCTCTCTCCCACCAGGTGGCCCCAGATTTCCAGCTGCTTGTGCTCATACCTGGATTCACGGTGGATGGTTTGACCAGTCTGGCTGTCGAGGGGCTGCCTGACTCCAGCACTCCCCTTCCCTCTACAGTGTCCTCGGAGCTCCTGTCCGTCGCAGCCCAGACACTCTTAAGCTCGGACACTAAGACTCTGGGGAGCGGCTCCTGTGGGGCAGAACGTTTGCACACCGTTGGGGGACCTGGCTCGGCCCGGCCTCGCGCCTTCTCCCACAGTGGGGTACACGGCCTGGATGGTGGGGAAGTAGATAGCCAGGCACTACAGGAACTGACTCAGGTCTGGGGTGCAGGCTACTGGGCTTCGGGGGGACAGGGAGGGCTGCCCAAGGTGACAGCCCCGACTGAAGGCTCCCTGCATCTGCCTTGCAGATGGTGTCTGGGCCTGCCTCCTACTCTGGTCCAAAACCTTCCACCCCATATGGGGCACCAGGCCCCTTTGCAGCCCCTGGTGAGGGAGGTGCCCTGGCAGCCAGTGGGCGGCCCTCAATGCTGCCCACCCGAGCTTCCCGTTCCCAGCGTGCGGCCAGCGAGGACATGACCAGTGACGAGGAGCGTATGGTCATCTGTGAGGAAGAAGGGGATGACGATGTCATTGGTGAGCAGTTGCAGGTCCCAGGGTCCTGCAGGCTGAGACTTGGAGGGTGGGCAGAGAGTTGATGCAGGCCTTGTTGAGTAAATGTAGCTCTGCCCTTGGGAAGCCCCCGGTCAGCCAGGAAACCAGGAGCATACAGGCTTGGCCCTTAGGCTCAGCATTAGGTGCGCTTATCTGTGGGCGGTGGGCACATCCAGGCTGTAGAGCATCCTTCCAGGGCCGTGCTCACTGCCGGCCTGGGGCAGAGCTCAGGCCAGAGCTGAGGCTCCAGATTTTCCCACGTGGGTATCCTGCAACTAACCCCTTTCTGAGGCTCCCTCTGTTCCCTCAGCTGATGATGGTTTCAGCACTACTGACATTGATCTCAAGTGCAAGGAGCGGGTGACAGACAGTGAGAGTGGAGACAGCTCTGGGGAGGACCCAGAGGGCAACAAGGTGAGGATTTGGGATCTGGCACCCACTAGTGGTGTTCCTGGGAGGGGGTCATCTGCTGTGTGTGTGGACGGAGCGGGAGGTTAATAACTCGTGGTTAGGGCAAGCTACTTGCCTCATGGGGGTTGGGTCACAGTTGGGATGAGTAGAGGCCTTCAGCTGGCAGGGATGCAGGCTTCAGAGGTCTGATTGCCAGGCAGGATGGGGCTGGGCAGGATGTGGGTATCTAGGCTCTCCTTATGTGGTTGTGTGTCTATTCTTCCACCCAGGGCTTCGGCCGAAAGGTGTTTTCACCTGTGATTCGTTCCTCCTTTACCCACTGCCGCCCATCTCTGGACCCGGAGCCTCCGGGACCCCCGGATCCACCTGCAGCCTTCGGCAAAGGCTACGGTCCCACCCCGTCCTCGTCCTCACCTGCCTCCTCAACCTCAGCAGCCACGTCCTTCTCACTGGGCTCGGGAACCTTCAAGGCCCAGGAGTCAGGTCCGGGCAGCACAGCAGGCCCTCTTCGACCCCCACCTGCTGGGACTGGGGGCCCAGTGACACCTTCCAAGGTCACTCGATTCCTCCCAACGGATCCTGCCACTTTCCGGCGCAAGAGACCTGAAAGCATGGGGGGCCTGGAGCCACCAGGCCCCTCGGTCATTGCAGCTCCTCCTGGCGGGGGAGGTGTCCTGCAGACACTGGTCCTGCCCCCCAACAAGGAGGATCGCGAGGGCAGTGGAGCCCGCATGCCCTCAGCCCCAGCCCCATCGCTGGCCTATGGGGCCCCTGCAGCCCCCCTGTCCCGCCCTGCCGCCACCATGGTCACCAATGTGGTGAGGCCTGTCAGCAGCACTCCCGTGCCCATTGCTTCTAAGCCCTTCCCCACCCCTGGCCGGGCAGAGGCCTCTCCAAATGACACAGCAGGTGCCAGGACTGAGCCAGTCACTGGGTCCCGGGCACCAGGCGGCTCTCCGCTGGGTGTCAGCTTAGTGTATTCGGACAAGAAGTCAGCAGCAGTGTCCTCACCAGCCTCACATCTGGTAGCTGGACCCCTACTGGGCACTGTGGGAAAGGCACCTGCCACCGTTACCAATCTGCTGGTGGGCACCCCAGGCTATGGGGCCCCAGCGCCCCCTGCTGTCCAGTTCATTGCCCAGGGAGCCCCTGGCAGTGGGCCTACTGCAGGCTCAGGAGCAGCTGCTGGAAGCGGCCCCAATGGGCCAGTGCCCTTGGGCATCCTGCAGCCAGGTGCTCTGGGCAAGGCTGGGGGAATCACCCAGGTGCAGTACATCCTGCCCACCCTGCCCCAGCAGCTTCAAGTGGCACCTGCCCCAGCACCCGCCCCTGGGACCAAGGCAGCAGCTCCCGGTGGCCCTGTACCCACCACTAGCATCCGTTTCACCCTCCCGCCGGGCACCTCCACCAACGGCAAAGTCCTGGCCGCCACCGCACCCACTCCTGGCATCCCCATCCTGCAGTCAGTACCCTCTGCCCCACCCCCCAAAGGTGAGCCCAGAGCCCAGCAGCGCAAGGAGAGGGGTTGTCGGCCTGTTGGTCTCCCTGCTAACCCTCGTTTACCTTTTAACTTGCAGCCCAGTCGGTGTCTCCTGTGCAGGCGCCACCCGCAGGTGGCTCAGCTCAGCTGCTGCCCGGGAAGGTACTGGTGCCCCTGGCTGCTCCTAGCATGTCAGTGCGGGGTGGCGGGGCCAGCCAGCCGCTGCCCCTGGTGAGCCCGCCCTTCTCTGTTCCTGTGCAGAATGGCGCCCAGCCGCCCAGCAAGGTGAGGGCATCCTTGGCCTCAGCCCCTGTTCCCTTGATCTTCCTGGGGGGCGGTCTTGGGCCCCACCATTTCTGTGTCGCTCCTTTGTTTCGTCTGTCTGTCAGGAACTGTCTCACTGTTTTCCTCAACAGTTCTTTCTCCATTTTGTTCCAAATTTCTGCACATCTTTCTTGCTGGTTCTTTGTTCTTGTCTCGCTACATTTTCTTCTGTTTCCCTTATTGCTGTTCCCAATCACGTGTTTCCTGTCTTTGCTTAGACCCACCTTCCTAGGTCTTGGTGCCCCCCCCCCCACTCTGGGTCCCCAGCTTACCCCAGCCTGTGGGTGCCCTTACCCACAGATCATCCAGCTGACTCCTGTGCCAGTGAGCACTCCTGGCGGCTTGGTGCCACCCCTCAGCCCAGCCACGCTCTCTGGACCCACCTCACAGCCTCAGAAGGTCCTGTTACCTTCGTCCACCAGGTAACGGCAGTTGCACCTTCAGTCCAGGACCAGACTGAGGTGGGGCTAGCTCACCTCACTCCTGTTTTCTCTTCCTTGTGGCAGAATCACCTATGTGCAGTCAGCAGGCGGGCACGCGCTGCCCCTGGGCACCAGCCCTGCGTCCAGCCAGGCTGGGACAGTCACCTCCTATGGGCCCACAAGTTCCGTAGCCCTTGGCTTCACCTCTCTGGGACCCAGTGGCCCTGCCTTTGTGCAGCCTTTGCTTTCAGGTGAGAGGTGGCCTGGCAGGTAGAACTGGGCCGCCTGGGTGGGCTGTGTCTGAGACCCTAACTGGGGCTCTCACCTCTCCTGTTCCCTCTCTGTAGGCCAAGCCCCATTGTTGGCTCCAGGCCAGGTGGGCGTGTCACCTGTGCCCAGCCCCCAGCTGCCTCCCACCTGCACAGCCCCTGGAGGTCCAGTCATCACAGCCTTTTACCCTGGCAGCCCCGCACCCAGCTCCTCAGCACCCTTGGCCCAGCCTTCCCAGGCCCCCCCAGGTCTGGTCTACACTGTGGCCACCAGCACCACCCCACCTGCTGCTACCATCCTGCCCAAGGGCCCACCGGTCCCTGCCACTGCCACCCCAGCCCCTACAAGCCCTTTCCCTAGTGCCACAGGTGGGTACTGGGCCACCCCAGGGCTGGGTGAATTGGGGAACCCTGGAGATGGGTCCCAGTCAGGACTGGCTCAGCAAGTACCCTTTTCACCACCAGCAGGCTCCATGACCTACAGCTTAGTGGCCCCCAAGGCCCAGCGGCCCACCCCCAAGGCCCCCCAGAAAGTGAAGGCCGCCATCGCCAGCATTCCCGTGGGCTCCTTTGAGGCAGGTGCCCCTGGGCGGCCTGGCCCCACACCCCGGCAGCCCTTGGAACCTGGTCCAGCCCGTGAGCCCCCTGTCCCTGAGTCTGAGCTAGAGGGACCGCCTACAACACCAGGCCCTCCACCGCCCCCAGAGACATGGGCTCCCACACCCCGGAGTTCCTCACCACCTGTACCCGCAGAGGAGCGGCTCAGCAGCAAGGGCCCTGAGACCGTGGTGAGTGCCCGGTGGGCCTGGGGCTCCTGTCCTTGCTTAACTCTGCCCCATGGTTGGTTGCCTGCCTGTCTGTTCCGCTTCTCTTCTGTCCACACTTGCCTGAACTCCGTCCTGTGGGGTCAGCCGCCATCTCGAAGGTTTTGCATCATGCATGGTCTCAGCGAACATGTCTTTATTTCTGGGCTTTGCCCCATTTAATCTGAACCCCGTGCCCTTCCTCTCCCTGCCTATCCCCACCCCAGGCCAGCAAATTCCCCAGCTCATCTTCAGACTGGCGTGTCCCTGGACTAGGCCTGGAGAGCCGGGGGGAGCCCCCCACCCCTCCCAGCCCGGCCCCAGCTCCAGCCCCAGCCTCTGGTAACAGCAGCGGCAACAGCGAGGGCAGCAGTGGGAGGGCCACCGGGGACACCCCTGAGCGAAAGGAGGCAGCTAGTACCACAGGCAAGAAGGTGAAGGTGCGGCCCCCGCCCCTGAAGAAGACTTTTGACTCTGTGGACAAGTGAGCATGGGCTGGGGGCCTTGGGTGGAGTGTGTGGGCTTGGTGGGGGAGAGGGGGCAGCAGGAGCAGGGGAGGTGAACCTTCTGGCTCTCCAGCAGGGTCCTGTCAGAGGTGGACTTCGAAGAGCGCTTTGCTGAGTTGCCCGAGTTTCGACCTGAGGAGGTGCTGCCCTCGCCCACCCTGCAGTCTCTGGCCACCTCACCCCGTGCCATCCTGGGCTCCTATCGCAAGAAGAGGAAGAATTCCACTGGTAGGCAAGCCGGTCACCTGGGGTAGATGAAGCCAGGTTGGGGGCTGCTGCTAATGACCCTGCTTCTGTTTGATCAGACCTGGACTCGGCCCCCGAGGACCCCACCTCGCCTAAACGCAAGATCAGGAGACGTTCCAGCTGCAGCTCAGAGCCCAACACCCCCAAGAGTGCCAAGTGTGAAGGGGACATCTTCACCTTTGACCGGACAGGTGCTGGTGCTGAGGCGGGTGGAGCGTTGGGGGTGACTGGGGCTGGTAAAAGGGGTGGGGTCTAGGGAGCAGGGTTAGAGAGGGGAGAGGTAGAGTGGGCATCTGGGAGGACAGCACTGGTCAAGGGTGGCTTCTGAAGTATTAGTCGACCCCTGGGTTGCCATGTGATCTTGGGCAGGTTTTCCCTCCAAACACCACTGTGAAGATTGCATTGAGGACGGGGGTGGAGACTCAAGACTGGCAGGGGCCCCTGTAGCCACGCCTCTGCTTCCCCTCCCCAGGTACAGAGGCCGAGGACGTGCTCGGGGAGCTGGAATACGAGAAGGTGCCCTACTCATCCCTGCGGCGCACCCTGGATCAGCGCCGGGCCCTGGTCATGCAGCTCTTCCAGGACCATGGCTTCTTCCCATCAGGTGGGCCTGTCTTAGTCTGGGAGGGCTTGGGTGGGCTTGTCTGCGCCTCTCACCCTGCCCGTGCCAACTCCCACCCTCCTCCTTTCCAGCCCAGGCCACGGCAGCCTTCCAGGCCCGCTACGCAGACATCTTCCCCTCCAAGGTGTGTCTACAGCTGAAGATTCGAGAGGTACGCCAGAAGATCATGCAGGCTGCCACTCCCACGGAGCAGACCCCAGGAGCCGAGGCCCCCCTCCCTGGACCGCCCTCCACTGGCACCCCTGCTGCTCCTGTCCCCACTCCTAGCCCTGCAGGAGGCCCTGACCCGACCTCGCCTGGCTCGGACTCTGGCACGGCCCCGGCTGCCCCGCCACTGCCTCCACCTTCAGAGCCGGGACCTGGGCAGCCTGGCTGGGAAGGGGCCCCCCAGGGGTCCCCCCCACCCCCTGGCCCTTCCACAGCTGCCACTGGCAGGTGAGGGGCCTCTGAGAAGATCCCAGGACCCATAGTACCCCCCTCAGGACATGGACAGTACGTAGGTGGCAGGAAGGGGGGGCAGGATGGTTAACCTCCTCCCCATAAAGCCATTTCGTCCTTTCCAGTTTGGGGCGGAATGAGGCCTGCTCCTCTTGTCTACCCCCTCCCCCACAGCTTCCTCCCAGTAATGGGGGGCAGCTGAGGGGAAGCAGGGGCACAGTCTCCCTGCACAGAGCCCCTGTATGTAACCTGGAGTGTGTTACCTTCAGACCTTTTCACTTGTACTTTATGCAAAATGGCTCGTGCGAGGGCTGCAAGCCGAGGGCAGTGCGGGCCGTGGCCACAGGGAGACGCCTGTGGAACAGGGGGAGTTCATGTACCCCTTTTTTCCCCAGAGGGGCTGGACTCAGGTTAGTTTGGGGGTGGGGGCTCCTGCACTTTGCCACAGGCTTGGGGAGGGTTGTCTCCCCACCCCCTCTGCCCTCCCAACTTGGGTTGTACTTTCTAAGAAGGTGATTTCCCCATCCTGTCCCCTCCCCAGAACAAAACATGTTGATCATGTGCAATATTTCTTACTGTGCCGAGAAGCCGCAATGACCGAGATTAAAGCTGTTTAACACACCTGTGTGGTGCCCTCTCTGGAGGGGGGAGGGGTGTTGGCTTGTGCCAGTCCTGCCTCCTGATGGCCATGGAGCCATACTTCATACCCTAGGACCCTCCAACAGCAGAGGGACCCCATGGGCCACACTGACGGGACCAGGCCGCCTCTCTAGCCCAGGAGCTCCTGAGTCTTGCCTCTGCCCGTTTCTCAGCCATCCAGCAGGCACGGGCCTGGGGTAGGCTTGACGCGGTGGCAGAAAGGCAGCTCCCCTGATGCTCCAGCTGGACCTGAAACTTCAAAGCCCAGAGTTGGCACAAGATGGGCAGCTGAAGTCCTGTGCTGTCCTCTGTGTGACCCTTCTGCCCCCAGGGTCTGACCCGGCAGGACAGCCAGGCTGAGGGCGCCTCCTGAGTTGAACCCCTCTTTCACAGTCTCTGGGGAGACAGTCCAGCCTGGAGTCCAGAGAGGATGATCGCTGGAGGCGGGTCAAGAAGCCTCCACAGGAAGTGAGTCCAAAGTTCAGGGAAAGAGCACGGTTCAGGTGGGCTTGAGTGCTGTTGGAAGACTGTTCCCACGATTCTCTCCTGAGCTTGGGGCCGCAGGGCAGTGTTGCCAAGCTGGCTTCCCCTCTGTGACTGGCAGTACCTATCTATAGTACTACTCTGTGAGAGATCCCCGAGTCTGCAAGAACTATGGTGCTTTTTGGACCAGAATGCTGACCGTGGGCAGAAATGGATTCACCCGAAAGAGCTGTAGGGATGAGGGTTGAGGTTGAGGTACCCAGCCAGGCTTTACCATAAAGCAGAAGACAGGACACTAGAGAGGGAGAATTTAATGCAGAGGAAGGCAGAGGCTTAGGGTGTGAGCTCTGGCAGGACTACGCCCTGGCCTTGGTCTTGGGCCAGGAGACGCAAAAGCAGGGAGTGCAGGGCCCGGCACACAGGTGTGTAGCCCAGCCGGCTGAGGTGCAGGTAGTCGTACATGTCGTGGTGGCTTATGGTGCCGTCTGAGTGCACAAAGCCAGGATCAGCATCCAGGAAGTGGGCCCGCGGGTGGCCTGCCAGCGCTGCTCTCACCAGCTCGTTCACCCGTCGGTTTTTCTCACGGAGTGGATTGGGGTGCTGGCCTCGAGGAAGCAGGCCCTACAGGGGGCAACAAGAGTTTGTGAGGTGTCCAACCAGCATCCGGGCCTTCTGTTTTCTGTGCCATATTGTTCTCTACCCTTTGCCACAAAGCTCTCAGCTGTAGAACGTGCTAGGGATAGGAAGTGGGGGGCTGAAGTGTCGTTTATGAAATCAAGTTTGCTAACCCCTTTCAGCTAGAAGCTTCTGGGTGCCAAGTGTCACTCAAAGATGCTGACATGATGACAAGGGATCATCAGTTCACCTTGTCGACAAGGAAATTTCCCAGCTAGAAGCCCGGGAGCTGCTTTTCCCAGATTCTTCAGCAGTCCCTTGGGGTAAAGGAGCTAACTGGTCCCCAAATATGTTAACCCTAGTAACCCCAATGTCAACATGAAATTTTGCCTCAAAGTCTCTGTCCTATTCCAAGCTGCTGTGACACCACAGGGGCTGAGTCCAAGACCATTTTTCTTGTCTTCTTCAAAAAAGATTTATTTAGTAGGGCCCTCTCTTGTGGTGCAGCAGGTGAAGGCGCATCACTATGAAGCCAGCCGCAGCACTTCACCAGGAGTTCCATCCCCGGCCAGGGAGCTGACGCACATGGCGCGGCAGACCTCTCCTGTCTTCCTGCTGTTCCCTTCGTCACTCTGCCTGTTCTGCTCCCCACTCTGTCTCTGGTGAGTCCTCTTACTGCCCTGCAACCTCTGGCCTGTACCCCAGTTCTGTATGCACAAATACATCATTTTTTAAAAAATAAATATTTAGTAGAAGAAATGGGGTGTAGGCCGGGGGCGGTGGGGGCGGTGTAAGAGGATTCACCAGAGACAGAGCGGGGAGCAGAACAGGCAGATCTACTGAAACACACTGCTGAGGGGAGCAGCGGGTGACAAGGAGAGGTCTGCTGTGCCACGTGGGTCAGCTCCCTGGCCAGGAATTGAACTCGGACCATGCAGTGATAGCACTGAGACCCAACTCCTACCCTACCAGGCAGACCCCAAAACCATTTTCCTGTTCCCACAATCTCACCAGCACCACGACCCGAGCCTGGGGTTGCCGCTGGTTCACCAGGTGCACGATGGCCTTGATGCCGCCAGTTACCTGCTCTGCCGTGTGCCCATGGTTGTTGGTGCCCACCCAGACCACCACGATCTAGAAAGAGAGGTGTAACACAGTGATGAGGGGCAGTTAAGGGTACTTTTGTTCCTCCCCTTCAAGCCCACTCACCTTGGGCCTGATATGCTCTAGTTCCCCATTCTCCAGTCTCCACAGCACATGCTGCGTGCTGTCACCTCCGATGCCAAAGTTAAGTGCGTGCAGAGGAGAAAAGAGCTCCCGCCAGATCTGTGGACAAGGTGTGGGCACAGGGGCATCATCAGCATGTTTCTGTTTGAGTGTTAACCAAATGTCATTATGGACCTTGAGCAAGCCCCAATACAATCGAGCCTCACTTTATGCACAACTATTACAGTCTCGTTTTTCACAAAATCCCATAGAAGCAAGGCTCGTTTTATGGAAACCCATTCTGCAGGAGTCAGGCATAGCGCCAACGGCATTACATTTCTGAACCTCTACTTTGAGGAAAGCCATTATGGTTTAACCTCTCTTAGTGCAAAGAGTATAATTGAGCGTTCCTTGTGGAGAGCTGTTACAATTGACCTTCACTTTGCGGAAACCTCTACAGTTCAGGGGAACTCCATTAGCTCTAGGCAGTACTTCAGCAAACAATAACGAGCCTAAGCTTCGTTTTCTTCTAAAAAAAAAAGAGATTTATTTATTTATGCATATAGAACTGGGGTACAAGCCAGAGATGGGGGGGATTAGAGGATTCACCAGACACAGAGTGGGGAGCAGAACAGGCAGGTCAACTGAAACACACTGCTGAGGGGAGCAGCGGAGAGACAGGTCTGCTGCGCCAAGTGGGTCAGCTCCCTGGCCAGTGATAGAACACTGCCGCAGCCGCTGCGGACAGCTTCACAGTGCTGCGTTTTAACCCCCTGTGCCACCAGAGAGGGACCTAATCCTCATTTTCAGGCTCACTATACACCAACCCAATCTGACAAAGCCCAGGGTGCGCACACATTTCCTCCATGGAATGCTGGGCCTCACACAGGGATTCTGGTGCCCAGGGAGCTTTCTCAGGACATCTGGGGTACCGAGTGCCCCGCCTGACCTGAGCTCTAGAGCAGGTGTGTTGGGCGGGCGCCGCACAGGCCAGGGTGGGGCAGGAGGTGGGAGACCGGCCTCACCTCGCACTGGTGCATTAACTGGACCAAGGAATCCCCGATGAAGACGACTTCGGGTTCCTTATCTTTGCTGTCGGCCACGAACCGATGATGCTGTGGGATGTGGACGTACAGTGGGGGAGTCAACGGCACGCGCGCCCGGGGCCCGCCCCGCCCAGCTTTCTTAGGCAGCACCACCCCAACAGCCCTCAGTTTCCCAATCAGCGAGGGCGGCGCGAACGAGCAGCGATCCAAAGCCCCCACCCCCACCCCGGCCTCCCGAGTGTCGCGGGCGGGGTCGCTCACCAGGGACATCCAGCGCCCGTCGCCCTGCACGTCCTGCACCGGCGTGGGCCTGCTGGCCGGATTCTCCTCTCCGCTCATCTTGGCGTCGCAGCTCCTGCTAGGAAGAGCGAGCAAAGTCGCGGGGAGCGTTCCCGGAGGAGGTGGGTCTGCCACGCCCACCCCCACCCCAGGCAACAATGGACGGTCCCGACGCCCGCTCTCCAGTGGAGGATACTGGCCGATCGCGGCGCCGCCTCCTCTCCTGGGGCGGAAACCCTCACTCAGGAGGGGAGGTGGAAGTGGGAAGCCTCGCTTCCCCCTCGGCGGCCGCGCTGTGGGCTCGTCCGGCCCTTCACACCCGGGCCACTCACTCGGACGGCTGCGGCGGCCGGCGCACCCGAGCGCGGCGGGGCCGGGGCGAGACCAAGCAGCACCGCGGGCGGGGGAGGGGAAAAACCACCCACCGGCGTCACGGGGCGGGGCGAACTACCTGTACGGCCGAGTGGGCGGGGAAAAGCTTGCGCTCTTCCTCTGGGGAAGAAACCATTTGCTGCAGGGCGAGAGAAGTGCAGAAGGGCCCACTTACTGCTGTGGGGGTGCGGAGGTGTGTCCCATTCACGTAGTGGGGGGCGGGGGAGAGTGTGGACGAGTCCATTGTTGGATCCCTTGAGGGGTAGCTTCTACACACCTGAGTCCAGGGGGACGCTCCAATTTCCTACTGTGTAGGGGAGAGAGAAGGAACAGGGCAAAATATGAAAATTAGAGGCTCCGTGGGAAGGCAGCGCCAGGACTTTAATGAACTGGTGGACCTCGCCCGCTCAAAAAATGTCAGATTTTTGGGGCCCTCGCTGGTGGCGCTACGGGTTGAAGAGCTGCACTAAGAAGCCAGCCGCAGCCGCTTCACTACTAGCTCAATACCCCGCCAGGGAGTGACCCACAGGGGGCAGCAGACCTCTCCTATCTGTTCGCTGCACCCCTCAGCAGTGTACTTCGTCCATCTGCCGGTTCTGCTCCCCACTCTTGTGTCTGGTGAATCCTCTCATGGCCCCTGCACCTCTGGCCAGCACCCCAGTTCTGTATGCATAAATAAATAAATCTTTTTTTTTTTTAATGCCAGATTTTGTGCCATAAAATCTAAACGATTTAGCTTTGTATTTACGAATATCATAGGCCTTGCTAGGGTGGTAGAAGAAGGTGCAGAAAGAGAAAGGAAATCCGAGAAGTTGCAAGGCCCAGGTCCAGCCTGGCAGCCTCCCACCAGCTCATCTTGCAGATCTCTTCAGCCTTTGCTCCCCTCCCTAAGCCACCGGTGACCAACAATTTCATTTGGGTGTGTCTGGGCTTTGAAACCCATATCAGTAGTCAAGGCCAAATAAGGTCGGCTCCATTTCTACCCTGACCCGAATTTATCTCAGACCTCATCCTCCCAGAATCTCATTGTTCTTGAGGACCAGGTATGGACCCCATCATTTAAACATCCTGGTCATAATCCCATAGTTTCAATCCCAGATGGGTTCTTCCTGTCCATTCCTTCTACACAGCTTGATATTGAGGTACAGGTATCCCTGGCTTTTTGAAAGTCTGTGTTGTGTAACTTTGCATGTACTATAGACCAACCTTAGTACCTGTTTTCACTAATAAAACAGTCATCTGTGCTTTTCTACAGAGGAAAAAGTGAAAATAGCACTCTGCTTGTTTTGCAGTGATCCTTTATAGAGGCCATGTACACCCCAAACAGCAAGGGTGGCACTGCCAAGCTCCTTCCCAGAGAACTATTTTATACAGGCTGTGTATTTATCATATTGCTTTTGTTTTTACTGCATGTTAGTGTTATTTTAAGTTTTGTGTGTTATTTCTTATGATTTAGTAGACTAAACGCTACACTAAGCTTACCACATAAATGAATGGTAATAGCTTCTCGCTTTTAAAAAATGATTTATTTTTTTAATTTATGCATACAGACCTGGGGTACAGGCCAGAAGTGCAGGGGCAGTGAAAGAATTCACCAGAGACAGAGCCAGAAGCAGAACAAACAAACAGACAAACAGAACAGACAAAGTATACTGTTGAGGGAAGCAGTGGGCAAGACAGGAGAGGTCTGTCATGCCATGTGGGTCACCTTGGTTGGGGATGGAACCTGAGGTGAAGCAGTAGCTTCACAGTGTTGTGCTTTAACCCCTTGTGGCACAAGGGAGAGCCCAGCTTCTTTCTTTCTTTCTTTCTTTCTTCTTGTTCTTCTTTTTTGGCTTTGACTTATGAAACGTTTCATAGGAATGTTCAACTTTCAGAGCAGAGAAAACCTGTATAGAGATGAGTTTATTTATTGTGTTTATTTCTACCTCAGTTCACTTGCTTAGTACAACCCATTTACCAGGTTCTTTGTAGCTCACAAGTACTTGCTGAATGAATATTAAATGAATGGATCCGATTTTGGCCTTTCCCCCAGTCGTGGTGGGGAAAGAATACAGGCACAGAGTTGAGAGAAGGATCAAGACGTAGTTAAAGGTGGTACAAGGGACGTGTGTGCGCGCGCGCATGTGTGTGTAAGGATTGAGGGTGAAGCATTGTCTAGAAGAGTATCTGAACCGTCAAGATTGACTGAGCAATATTACACAGCTAATATGGTTGATTAGAGCATGATCTGCCATAGCTTGATCTTAATGTCTGCGGGGATAAGTGTAGATAGGTAAGTTGGCGAGGTAGACAGGCCATTCCTGAAGCAAAGCGTAGCGAGAAACCAATCCTGTTTGCTGTACAGCAACCCCATGAAGAAACTACTGTTATCAAGCCCATTTACAGAATAGGTAACTGACACTTCCCTGGCTCAAATGTTCCTTTTTGGGCATTTGAACCTAGTTAGTCTGGTTCCAGGGTCTCTCTTTGTGTGACCACATCATTCTGATTCTCGAGGGATGAAGAATTTGCCCCCACCGGCTGCACAGTACTTCCTCTCTCGCGCGCCTCGAGGTGCTTCATCTCTGGAACTAGACTGGAAACCCACCCAGAGACCTCCCAGCCAATCATCACTCGGGAGGGGGGCGGTCCTAGTAATTCTCACATCTAATTGGTGGGTGGAGGTACCTAAGGACAAATGGGGAGGTTTCCAAACAGCGTGAGCGGGGAGGGGCGGGGCCATAACCGGCACTCTGGGCCCCGGTGCGCAGTCTGGCCTCGTGCCTCGTGGGTGCAGAGGCCAGAGGGCGTGCATGGGCACGCGCATGCGTGTGGAGCGCTTGACGCGCGTGACGCCCTGCGTGTTGCCCAGAAGAGCACCTGGCACGTCGTGGACTAGGGTCGCCGTGGAAAAGAAGCCATTGAGTCCCTGAGCCACGCAGGCCAGGGGGCAGAGTTCATTAGGTCAGGAGAAGGTGCGGCCCCCTTCCCGACCCAACCCCTACCAACTGTACCCGAATTCCCTACCTCGCCCTCCCCACGCTGCCTCTGCTACCCTTAGGCCTCTCCCCCACGACCAGGCCTCAGACCCTGATGGCTCCACCGACCTCTGGAGGGTTTCTCGGCTGCTCTCCTGCCTTTCTTTGTCAACCTCCTTGCTTTACCTTCTGCGTCCTCCTTTACTCCTCTGACCAGATCTGGTTGTGGGTTTCCAGAACACTCTGGTCTCGTGATCCTTTGTCCCTAATATTTTAGCCTTTTTCTCAAGTCCTTGTAATTCATTCTCTACTTCCTGACCAAGCTCCCCAGTTCACTGTGCTCCCCTTGATTCCACCTACCCCTGTGATTCCTTCCCTGCAGTCTCTTTGCTCATGTGTGTCCTCTCACCTTACCTCTAAATAGTACTCCCACCTCCCTCCCAGCCATGTTTTCTTCTCATTCCTTACTTTTTTTGGGGGGGGGAGGGGTGTCAAGATCACCAGCTGCCCAAACAGCAAAAAATGATGCTTCTGAGATCTATTGATGTCGATTCTGCACTCAGAGCAATTGAGCTGCCCTGCGTGTGCCACTCACGACAGAAGCCCTTTTTTCATTCCTTACTTTTAATCCCTGGCTTACCTGCATCCTGATGACTAACCTGTCTTTGTCTTACAGGACACCATGGACCCCCGGGGACCAGGTCCTCAGCCTTTCCAGCGGCCTGAGAAATCTGGTCGCGTTCGCCGTCGGAAGACCAGGCGAGAGCGTAATGAGGCCCTGGTGGGCAATCGCTGGCCACTGGCCCATCAGGATCCTCCAGGGGCCAATAGGAATCCACCTGTGACTCTTCTGGATCCAGTGGCCCCTAGTGCCCCCAAGCTTGTTGTCATAACCCAGGGTCGGTTGAGCCGGGAGCACAGGGGTCTCTTCAGCCATGAGGTGAAATCCCTGGATGTGGCACGACTGCTTAGCAGTGGGTCCCTGGAGCCCAGCACCCTTGTTCTCCCCACTAAGCCCTCCCCAAGTCCAGGCAGGGCCCAAGAACCAGGTCCACAGTCAAGGGGCAAGGAGAACCAGGTGCCTGGAGGCTCTGGCCCAGGCCCACCCAGTCCCCCAGAGTTCCCTGACTTGGGGCAGCTTCTGGGGGAGCTGCAGTGCCAGCTGACTCTGCCACAAGCCTTTCCCAGGAGGAACCTAGTGCAAGAGGCCAGGGATGCCATCATGGGCACCTTGCAGGCCTGCCATGGCTGTGTACCTGACCTTACCCAGGTGCTCCAGGGCTGCCAGTCACCTTTGCCAGGTGAGCCAGCCTCCTACTCTTGTGTTCCCCTTCTCTTTGTCTTCTTAGGCTTAGCTGTTTCTCCCTATCCCCTGCTTCTTTCCTTTGTGGCAGGGACCAAGCCTGGGGGACCTGAGAGGCGAAGGATGACACCCTCTTGGATCAACAGTCCTGAGCAGGCACCAGGGGCGGGGAGGCAGAGAAGGCTACAGGGGACAAAAGAGGTCACCTTCACCATGCCTCACACTTCCAGCACTCCCACTGCGCACAGGGTGAGCCAGGCACCACCAAAAGCTTCCTGGCCACCTTCCTTGCCTTCTCTGCCTTCACCATCTGGGGCAGCCTGGGGCCCCCCAACAGCTTTTGACCTGCTGAAAAGCATCTGGCTGGTAGCCACACCACCCCCACCCCGGCCCTGGGTGGTTGGCTTACCACAGCCCCTGCCGCAGCCACCCTCACCCCTGTTGCCCCGAACCTCAGCCCTGGATTGGAGCCCCAGCCCTCCTGCCCCACTGCCCAGCCTCTCCTGGGTGGTGGCTCAGAGCAGCCCTGAGGCTTGGTCCTTTCCACCCATGAGACTGTACTAAGGGACTGAGACTGGGCTGAGGGTGGGAATCCTGAACACCTACTCACCTCAATAAAGTATCTTCTTTCAATATCCTCTGGACAGTCAGTGAGTGGCTTGCCTTGGAGAACTTTTTCTTCATTCAAAATGGAGAGGAAGGTACTGTCACCTGTCACCTCCCTAAGACCCAAGGGGCCATCAGATTGGGGAATCTGTAACTCCCGTCCAATGTTGGCGCTGGGAGAGAGAGGTGCAGTGTCTGGGGGAGGCTGAGGACGAGTGATGACTCTGCCCTTCACAAAGGAGCTGTAACAAACACTGGTATTTTTTTTTTTAAAGACTTACTTATTTCTGAATACAAAAACTGGGGTATAGGCCAGAGGTGTGTGGGGTGAGAAGATTCATCAGAGACAGTGGGAGCAGAACAGGCAGATTGAATAAAATCCACTGCTTGGAGGAACAGTGATAGAGACAGAAGAGGTCTGCTGTCTATTTTAGCTTCACAATACTGCACTTTAACCCCTTGTGCCACCGTGGAGACACCTGCTTGTATTTTTTAAATGGTAGAAGTGGAGTAAAGGAAAATAACATGTTACAGGTGCTAGAAATTCTGGTCTGTGGAACAGCATGTGCAAGATCTAGAAGCAGACCAGGGACCCATATGCCTGGGCCATGCTAAGACGGAGAGTGAGTCACCTCTGGGCCTTGCCCTTGGGTGAGCACAAGGACTGTGTAGGAGCAGGACAAGAATGACAAGTGGGGCCTGAATCTGGTACACAGATTCTTTGACCTACAATGTAGTTTAAATGTTTGAATCAGTTGCTTACTGTTCCAAATCAGATAGTGTACATTAGAAAAAAGAAACACTCTTCTGGCTTCACTTTAAAAAATAAAAGGATCTGGCAACCTGCTCTCCCTCTTGGCAACAACTAGCTCAAGTCAAGTAGCTGCCCCCTTTTCCTAGACCCACTAACAACGCCCTCACCCTAAGATGTTTCAACCAGTATGTCTTCAGCTTGTCCCCTTGGCTTAGTAAGTTTTTTTTCTCAAGTGGTATTTTTTTTTTTACTTATTCGTACAGAACTGGGGTACAGGCCAGAGATGCGGAGGGTGAGAGGATTCACCAGAGACAGAGTGGGGAGCAGAACAGGCAGATGGACGAAGTACACTGCTGAGGGGAGCAGCGGGCGGGTCAGGAGAGGTCTGCCACGTCATGTGGACACCTCTGGGGCAGGCGGCATTGAACTCATGCGGAAGTGGCTTAAGCTTCTTTGTGCTTTAACCTGCTGTGCCACCAGGGAGGGCCCACAAGTGGTATTTTTGAAGAGCAATAAAATTTCAGCAGGGGAATGGGAGGGAGGAAGTTAGAAATGTTTGTTAAGATCTAAGAAGAATTGGGCCCTCCCTGGTGGCGCAGCGGGTTAAAGCACAGCACTAAGAAGCTAAAGCCGCTTCTGCATGAGTTCAATCCCTGCCTGCCCCGGAGGTGACCACATGGCGTGGCAGACCTCTCCTGACCCGCCCGCTGCTCCTCTCAGCAGTATGCTTTGTCCATCTGCCTGTTCTGTACCCCACTCTGTCTCTGGTGAATCCTCTCACCCTCTGCATCTCTGGCCTGTACCCCAGTTCTGTATGAATAAATAAATAAATCTTAAAAAAAATCTAAGAAGAATCAAGTGGGGGGCCTTGGACTCTACTGCATACAGCCTTTCCAGGGCTCCCCATTGCCTAACTGGGAAACTAAAATAGATACCCTTGTGGAGGGAAGGGACTGGAAGATCATGAGGCTGTGACATTTTAGGGGGGAGGAAGTGACAGGGCTGGAATTTGGACCCAGGTGATTTACTTCAAAGCCTACGCGTGGGCTTCTCACAACACCACCTCTCTGTGCACACCCTGGTCAGCAGTGACAGAAGAGTGCCATGCAGCAGAACGTGGTGGGTGATTGTGTCTGAAGGCTCTGGCACCTCTGTATTGTGTGACCCAGAACAGGTGGTTTACCAGCTCCCTGCCTCTGGGTCTCTGTGGGCACCTCACAGAGTGTATGGGGTCCGAGCTGGGTGGACACAGTTGACGATGACTGTCATGGGAAGGGGATGAGCCATCAAAAAGCAGTTTAGGACTAGATGGGGGTGTGGAGGGACTGCAGGACCAAGCAGGAAGGGGGGCTGGGGGTTCTGTGTCTGGAGATGGCAGAGGAGGCATGGCTGGGGGTTGGACGAGTTCAGTTTAGGACACTGGAGGTGTCAGCGAGACTCCCAGAGGGGAGGCCTGGGCTTCGGACAGGGCGGAGAGGATAGGAAAGGGGCGTCCTCCCCCACAGACTTCGGAAGGGGCCAGGGCGGACCGTCCGGGAGGAGAGGGCGGGGAGCTTGGCGCCCAGCGGCCCCTTTAATCGGGGGCGCGCGCCTGCTGGCCCGCGCGCTCTCGCCGCCGTCGCCGGGCTGGAGCGGGAGCGGGAGCCGGAGCGGAGCCGGGGCCCGGGCCCGTGCGGGCGCAATGGATCCCCCGCGCGCTCCCGCTCTGCGCCGCCTGCTGCCTCCGCTGCTGCTCTTGCTGCTGCCACTGCCCCCCCGCGCCCGGGCTAAGTACGTGCGTGGCAACCTCAGCTCCAAGGAGGTGAGCGCACTGGGTCCTCCCGAGTCGCCCGTAGGGCCCCCGCGGGACTGGAGGGAGGATGGGGGGTGCAGCCCCGCCCCTTGCAGCCCCTCCCGGGTGAACACTGGGATCCCCGAGGGGCTGGGGGCGATGGGGTTCTGCCTCTGGGTTGTGTTTGAGGGGGGTGGTGGGGTTCAGGCGAGACTCGGGGGTTGCGGGAGGGACATTGAGGTCAGAACTGGGCGGAGGCGGGGCAGGTTGGGAGTTTGGGGTGGGGGTGGGGGACGCCAAGGTGGTGCTGAAGGGACAGCACTTTTCACTCTGCAGAGAGCTTTGAGTTCACACTCCGGCTCAGAACCCAGAGAGGGCCCTCTGGAATGTGGATATCTCCCAGCAAGGGTGGTCTCTGGAACCAGCGTGTGTGTGTGTGTGTGTGTGTGTGTGTGTGTGTGTGTGTGTGTGTGTGTGTAAAACTGTGGGATGCCTCTGACTGGGGCCTGGGACAGAAGGTGTGGTGGGGACCTAGCCCTCCAGGATCCTTCTCAAGGTGCCTGGGAAATGGGAGAAGTGTTTAATGACAGGGGAAGGAAACTTAGGGGGGGCAGTCCGAGAAAGGGTTCCTATACCCAAGATGAAGGGATCAGTGAAGATTTTTGGTGGTGATTTGGTTCCTTTACACTTCTTGGGAAACCAGGTATCTGGGAGGTAGGAAAGAAAAATTGAGGGGGGGTGTGTGTGCCTGTGGAATCAAGGAGAATTCATAAAGTTCTCAGAACAGTGCCCCTTTTCCAGGACTGGGTTTTCCTGACAAGATTTTGCTTCCTCTCGGATTATGGCCGACTGGACTTCCGTTTCCGATACCCAGAGGTGAGCGTTCCCCAATTTGAGGCCAAGACTGTGTGCCCGTTTGGTGTCCCCAGGAAAAGGCTACTCCTGTTCCCCATGCTCCCCCAAATCTCGGAATCTCTGGCTCTGCAGGCCAAATGCTGTCAGAACATCCTCCTCTACTTTGATGACCCATCCCAGTGGCCAGCTGTATACAAGGCAGGGGACAAGGTGAGGGCTGTGAGAGAGTGTATGGGAGAGCAGAGAAAGTCAAAGCTGGCTAGGGAATGACCACGTCCCTGTCCTCCCCAGGACTGCCTGGCCAAGGAGTCAGTGATCAGGCCGGAAAACAACCAAGTCATCAACCTCACCACCCAGTATGCCTGGTCAGGCTGCCAGGTATGGGCCTAGCCTGGAGGACTGGGCAACTCTGGAAAGTTAAGGCCTAGGTGTAGTGCAGGTAGGTTTCAGACTTCCTCCCCCCCCCCCCAACCAGGTGGTGTCAGAGGAGGGAATCCGCTACTTAAGCTGCTCCAGTGGCAGAAGCTTCCGCTCAGTGCGTGAAAGATGGTGGTACATTGCCCTCAGCAAGTGTGGCGTAAGTGCTGGGCCTGCCACCTGGGCCTTCTCCCTTTGCCTTTCTGTGACCCCCTACATGCCCAGGGTTCCCCTGAGGTCTCTGTTCTCCCCGCAGGGAGATGGGCTGCAACTGGAGTATGAGATGGTGCTCACCAACGGCAAGTCCTTCTGGACACGGCACTTCTCAGCTGACGAATTTGGTGAGCCTCTGGGGGACCCCGAACGGGGGTTGATGGCAGGGATCTTTGTGGGAGCCCAGAACTGGGTGACTGCTGAGAGACACTCGTCCTGAATTAAACATTTCCTTCGTCCACCAAATTGACAGGGATCCTGGAGACAGATGTGACTTTCCTCCTCATCTTCATCCTTATCTTCTTTCTCTCCTGTTACTTTGGATGTGAGTCCAGCACACGGTGTGGTCCCGGGGGTGGAGGGCTGGAGTCCCTAGGTGATATGGGGGGCCGGGGTGGGGGAGGTGAGCTGCTCTCCCTTCCTGTCTGTGAGCCACCTATGTCTTCCTCCTTTCTAGATTTGCTGAAAGGTCGTCAGTTGCTGCACACGACTTATAAAATGTTCATGGCTGCGGCAGGAGTGGAGGGTGAGATTTAGAGTATCCTAACTTTTGAGTTATGTTAGAGGAGGGTCCTGGGACCCAGATACCTGGGCCTGAGGGAATGGCTGAGCATCTGGATTCCTGGCTCCTTGGAGAGGAGGGCCTTAGAAAATTAGGGACTGGGGGCCCGGACTCCTGGGTGTGAGGGAGGAGGGACTGGGGGCCCGGACTCCTGG